TTATTCATGCAACTGTTCAGCACTGAATTTATGGCACCACATGCTTTAAAGAAAAAAAAAATTCAGTAATTGTAATTATTAAGTTACATGATTTCCAGGATTTTGTGTTATTTAGGGCATACGACAGCTTTTACATTTGTATGTCCCTTAATATAGCTGTATTGTTTACCTAACTGCTTAGAGGCCTTTATTCTGGACCCATCTGGATGTGGGACCAATTACCAGGAGCAGAAGCAATATTGCTGATGCCTGGGGTCCTGAGGTGTGTAAACTCTGCTCCAATCCCTCTGCCATAAGGAAACAAGAAAATGATTCTAAATAAGACTCCCTAGTATGAGCCTAAAATATCCTGGCAGTGCATTTCTTACCTTATTATTGGTAGTTAGTTCATCATTTCTCTGAAGGCACTTAGGATTCTGCAATAAATAAAAGTAGAAAAAAAAAAATCAGGCTTGCAAATACAAGGACGAGGATGTATTTGCATTTATGTCTGTCTGGCAATGCTAGGATTCTTTTTGTCACTTCATGCAATATTTTCTTTATCTATGATGACATATAGAGTTGTACGAGTTCCAACTGTCACTTAAAAACAGAAATAAACCCTCCTATCCTTTACAGCCAAGGAAGCTGCCATCTTAGCTTCTGCTTGATCTGAAGTTACCATGGTGTTGCACATGTGATCAGTTATGACACCGGACAATTTGATGGCTTGATAGATAGCACAAGCAACTGTGACAGTCATTCATGGCTTGCATGAATGTTTTAGTAAACCATTACATTGATGGGTTTAATGCCGATTTAAAATATGTCAGTTACTCAAGTCGGCATTATTTAGTATATATTTTTTAAAAGATTTGTATAAATTGGAACATTGACTTGAAAATAAGCTTACTTTTTTCACATGTTACTTTCTGCAGTTTGTATATGGGGTAAGACCTAGCTGCCCATTAACCACTTGCCTACCAGGCGCTTATACCCCTTCCTTACCAGGCCAATTTTCAGCTTACAGCACTGTCGCACTTTGAATGACACTTGCGCTGTCATGAAAAATTGTACCCATATGAACTTTTTATCATTTGTTTCTCACAAATAGAGCTTTCTTTTGGTGGTATTTACTTGCCGCTGGGCATTTTACTTTTTGCGCTATAAAACAAAAAAACTTTGAAAAAAAAAAAGTTTCTTTGTTTCGATTATAAAATTTAGCAAATAGGTAAATTTTTCTCCTTCAGTGATGTGCGTTTATGAGGCTGCACTGATGGGCACTACTGATGATGTGGCACGGATAGGCGGCACTGACTGGTGCAACTGCTGGGCACTGACTGGCAGCACAAACTGGCGCCACTGCTGGGCTGCACTGCTGGGCACAGGTGGGTGGGGCACAGCGATCATGGAGATCGCCAGGTGCGTGTGCCCACGGGGGAGGATGTCATATGACGCCCTCCCAGAACTGGCCAGCTGCAGTGCAGCCGTCATTCGGCTATCTGTGGTTGGCAACTAGTTAAATATAAGTGCCATGTAACCTATTAAAAAATGCAAGGTGACAGAAATATCTGGTGCACTGCATACAGTGAAAATAATGGTGGGTGCTAAAGCAACTTGGTAAATGTATGTCTCAGTTACATAGAGTTTCTAAAGAAACTAATATCACCAACACTCTAAAAATGCAAAACTAGAGCTTTTATTCCATTTCAACAGACAAATGCAACGTTTTATGGCTGCGAAAGGATCTATTCATAAAGGCAACAGCAATTCAATTGTGGAATGCTGCTTATGTCAGTTTATCTCTGGAAGCTGTTGAGAAATGTAGTAAACGTATGCTTTGTTCTAATTCAATCACTTCAGCTTCCATTTTTTCAATGTAAATCTATCAGAATGCAAATCTATCAGTCTGCACACCTCGACATGTAACCTTTCTGGTTCTCTCAGCATATATTTAGCAAGGGTGCTGATCATAACTGAAATACAGACAATTGCTAAACTCTGCAAAACTGCATTAAAAATTAATAAAATGTATTATTAGGAGAGCTGTGGCACCTTTGCAGCCAGGGCCACCCTTCTCTCACAGCCTGCCAAGGATTCTCTGGGCAAGCATCTAAGATTCCCTTTTGGGCTCCCTATCAGTAGTGCCTCATTTAACCCTACTTTTCAACCTGTCTTGGATGCCCTTGTAGATAACCTCTAGCTTGGATTCTTCTTTAGGATTGCTGCCAGCCTTGACTTCGGAATGTTTACTGGGTTACATTTGCCGGCTACTTGCCCTGACCTTGGACTTTTTACTGGATTTCATTTGACCACTGCTTTCCCTGACCTTGGGACATGCCTCCCTGGGCAAGCTGAATTTCATCTGCCCACTACCTGCCCTGACTAGCCATGAAACACCTAATTTGTCCCTGCCTGTCAACCTATCTTGGATGCCCTTGTTAAAATAGATTGCTCATGTAGTTTGTGCAACAACTAACTATGCAGTAGAGATATTCTTCAACCAGTAGATGACAGTGTTTATAAGTTTTTAGCAGCATCTATGTGCAGCACTACCCCCCCCCCCCATAGGGGCCACTCAGTGATACTTGTTCCCAGTGGTTGCCTTGACCTTGCAAGCCTCCCAACACCTCTGACATTCTGGGTTCAGACGTACTTGAACAATAGAAAATAATGCAAGAGACACAATGCTTAAGTAACACCACTATATTACAGTTTACTTAAAAGGAATAGACCAAAGCGATATTTGGATGAGTATGCACAACCCAAATTAAAACATGAAGGCTCAAACACTAGTACAACAATTACAAGTGTTTAACAGATTTATACAGTTATGTGCAGTAAACATTAACCACCTAAATGCAACCCCCGCAGTAAGAGGGAGAAGAGACTTGTTGGCCTGCCAGCTCCCTCTGGGCCACCTTACAAGGGGACATGAGGAAAATCCTATATAAATGAATACTCCTGTATACATATATGTAGGTATCCTTGTTTGAGTAACAATGGCATTAGAGAGATAGAAGTCCCTTTAACTAGAAACTTCAGCTTGAGTCCTGCTGAAAGCTCCTAATATGGTGGTGTCTTCTGTTAGCAGTGGTGGGGCCTAAATCAAAGGTTTCATGTTAACTAAAGATGTCTGCATGCAGTGTCTCTAAAGTGATGACAGACAAAAGTTGGGCATCCGCCTGCTCAACAATCCTGTTGCTAGCACAACCTCCTAGAAACAGAGTTCTTGATCAGTTTCTTGAATGTCTGCAGAGATGTGTAGAGTAACACAGCAAACAGTGATGGCTGAGTGGGGTCGGACAGTGGCAGTCCAGGTGCATAAAAGAACCAATGTGATCCTGGGATGGTGATCGGCACCCCAGCAATGCAGATCTGCCCAAAGTCCTGCAGCAGCAGACCCACAGTCTCTTAAGGAGAATGGCAGTCTCCCCTATGTCCAGCTGCAAATCCCAGGCCAAGAGAGCTAGCCAACTACTTGCAGTCGAATATATCTGCTCTCCCAGAATCCTTCTGATTCACCAGCTCTCTAGTATGTGTAGTTCAGTCAGCAATCAGGAATACAGTATGCGTTGGCTGAAGGACTACAGGTCCCAAGATCCTCAGCTGCCCAGGAGAAGTATCTCTACTCTGCTAACTGAACATCATGAAGCTGTCCCAGTGCTGGGCTCTAGGGGGGAAAAAGGCTCACTCATAGTTCCTCCTGTAAGTTTTCCTGAACTGTATGGTGGCGACACTTGGCTGCATCTGGTTAAGCAGCAGGTAAAATACATGTACAGTCTGTTCTGTAAGGCTATATACAGAATCTCCAACAAGTTATGGGCCCAACAGATTTTTCAGAAAACCTTTCCTTTCAGAATCAACATTTTCTATGGAACACTATACTACAAAATACTCCCACAAATGTGGGCTGTCACGGACTGCCAGTGCCTCTCTCCATCCCCCGCCATATCCCTCCACCCCTCCCTTCCCCCTTGCACATTCCGATGTCTGTGGAGCTTCCATGGACAGGGCTGGGCCGGCCATTGCCGAGGCAACCTAGCCGCATCCCACATGGTTTTCAAAAGACTCGCACAGGAAGCAGCCCTCTTCTCTTTGTTCCTGTCCATGCTGCTGGAATCATCTTGGTCCCAGAAAGATGCTGGGAGGCTTGGGTGAGGGGGACCGAGCCTCCCCAGCCATCCCCCCTGCGCACTCTGCAGACCCCCCAAAAGGTCAGGACTGTAGCCCTCTGCAATACCCCAGGATTGGGAGTCTCCACATCTCTGCATGAGCCTTCTCCTCAAAGGTCAGACCCCACAGCTGAGACTCTGCCAGACCCTGCAAGTCTGTAAGCCTGTCTACTGAGCACCTTTGCACCCTGTCTGCTGCTGAGTGCCCTGGGAACTGCTGCTGAGGGACCCTGCACACTGTCCGTGGCTGCGTGTCTCTGAAAGCCGTCTGCTGCCTGCTGATTGTCCCTGGAATGCTGACCGCTGGTCATCCCTGTCTGGAACCGCCTGCCGCTGAGGGTCTGCAAGCTGCTTACCGTGAGTGTCCTGAACTGTCCCCGCTGTGGGCACCGACCACCTGTGCCCTGTACTGTCCCTGTTGTGCGTACTGACCACCTGTGTCCTGAACTGTGCTGCTGTGTGCACCGACCACTCGTGTCCTGAGATGTCCCCGCTGTGTGCACCGACCACCCGTGTTCCGAACTGCCTGCTGTGTGCACTGACCACCCGTGTCATGAACTGTCCCTGTTGTGCTCACAGACCATCTGGGTTATGCACTGCCCTACTACACACCTAGACTACCCTTACTTGAACCGCCCCATGGCATGCCCGGAGTATAGCTACCTGTGGTGCCCCTGAGTGCTTGAGCCATCGCTACCCGTTGAGTCCCGTGAACCCAATGTCCCTAGAAAGCTGGGTGGGAGCTGTGTTGAAGCCAGACTCCCAGCTAGAGTCCCGTTGAGTCCCTGAGACCCCTGCCCAGGGGTAGATTGCCGCCCGTTGCCCGAGGTCCCTGCCCAGTGGTAGGTTGCCGCCTGTTGCCCAAGGCCCCTGCCCAGTGGTAAGTTGCCGCCTGTTGCCCGAGGCCCCTGCCCAGGGGTAGATTGCCGCCTGTTGCCCGAGGCCCCTGCCCAGTGGTCGGTTGCCGCCTGTTGCCCGAGACCACTGCCCAGGGGTAGATTGCCGCCTGTTGCCCGAGGTCCCTGCCTAGTGGTAGGTTGCCACCTGTTGCCCGAGTCTCCAATCCGCTGTCCAGTCACGGAGGGAGCTCGGCTAAGGCCCCAAGCCTAGGAGGGAGATTGCCTGCCTGTCATCGTAGACCCCCCGTGCCTGGAATCGACCCTGGTTTGCACACACTTCACCCTCCCTGCCATTTCCCCATTGAGTGTCTGTCATTTTGTTGCTTCAAAAAAGCTTTGTGTGTTCCCCATCTTCTCCGTGTGCTCTGTCCTGCCTACGCTTCCGTTACATGGGCCATTGATTGCAAACAAGATTTGTTACTTTGCACACACAAAAACCTATTTTTCCTAACAAACTCATTCAAGACCATGTTGCAAAAATGAATACACCCCAATGAAAGTCTTAGGAGCAAAGCTAAATCTTAGACAACAAAATCCTAAATGAACAAGAATTCACCTACAGGTGAGTCTAGTTATTTATTAAACAGGTGTCCAGCAGACAGTTGATTTTAAAAGGGTGTTACTTAAAGAAAACCCCTCCCCATTTCATGCTGTCAGCAATGACACCACATGGAAGAGAAATGTCTCAAGACCTGAGAAAGAAAATTTCTTTACAAAAGAAAGGTGACGGCAACAAGAAGATAAGCAAAGCTTTACTTATCAGTCAGAATACTGTAGCAAAAATGATACAAAAATGTAATAAAGATGGAACTGCAACCATCTCACAGAGATATTCAGGTCATCCATGGAATTAACACCTCGACAGGAGCGTCTTCTGACGAGAAGGGTTGAAGAAATTTGCCATGTAAGTTCACCGCAGTTATCTAAAGAAGTAGAAGGCCAAACTGGGGTGATTGTTTTCCGTGACACAATGCAGCATACACTGCAGAGAAATGGAATGCATGGGTGTCATCCACAAAGAAAGCCTCTCCTAAAGCCCATGCACAAAAAAGCCCACCTAGTATTTGCCAGGGCCCATGCTGAAAAAGAAGAAGACTACTGGGACTCTGTACTCTGGAGTGATGAGACCAAGAGAAATGTTTTTGGAACTGATGGCTTCAAAAGTGTATGGCATCACAATGGTGAGGAATACAAAGAAAAATGCATGGTGCCTACAGTGAAACATGATGGTGACAGCGTCCTTCTGTGGGGCTGCATGAGTGCTGCTGGTGTCAGGGAGCTGCATTTCATTGATGGTATCATGAATTCACAGATGTAATGCTCTATATTCAAAGAAGATGCTACAATCACTCTGTGCTTTTGGTAGTCGTTCACTTTTAGAAACATGACAATGATCCAAAATGCACATCTAAGGCCACTGTTGCATTTCTGAAGAACAGGGTAAAAGTGATTCAGTGGCCAAGTATGTCTCCTGATCTGAACCCAGTCGAACACCTATGGGGAATTCTGAAGAGACAAGCTAAGCAACACTCTCTCCATCCTGCCTCTAAAAGAGGCAATTCTTAAACAATGGAAAAAGATAGATGTTGCAATATGGCGCCAAGTTGTTAATTCCATGCCTAGAAGCCTTTTTTGCTGTTCTTATAAATCATGGAGATCATACAACATACTAGATGTAGTAGTTTTTGTTGTGGGGTGTATTCATTTTTTGCATCAAATAATTTGAGTAAAATTGAAGTGTGTACACACACACACACACACACAACAAACTTTAATGGCATCCTAATCTTAGTCCGTAGGGTTCATTATTGAGATGGCCCACCCTTTGCAGCTACCACAGGTTCAATTCTTCTACTGTCCACAAGGTTTAAGAGTGTGTCTATGGGAATGTGTGACCATTCTTCCAGAAGCGCATTTGTGAGGTCAGGCACTGATGTAGAACTAGAAGGGTTGCCTTGCAGTCTCCCCTCTAATTCATCCCAATGGTGCTCTATTGGGTTAAGGTCAGGTCAGTCAAGTTCCTTCACCCCAGACTCATTCATCCATGTCTTTATGGACCTTGTTTTATGCACTGATGTGCATCATGTTGGAACAGGAAGGGGCCATCCCCAAACTGTACCCTCAAAGTTGGGAGCATGAAATTGTCCAAAATGTCTTGGTATGCTGACGCCTTAGGAATTCCCTTCACTTGAACTAAGGAACCAAGCTTGACCCCTGAAAAGCAACCCCACACCATAAGCCTCCCCTACACCAAACTTTACACTTGGCACAATGCAGTCAGGCAAGTATCGTTCTCTTTGCAACCCCAGACACGTCAGTCAGATAAGCTAGACAGAGAAGCATGATTTGGCACTCCAAAGAACACTTCTCCACTGCTCTAGAGTCCAATGCTGGCGTGCTTTACACCAATGCATCCAACATTTTGCACTGCACTTGTTGATGTAAGGCTTGGATGCAGCTGCTTGGCCATGGAAACCCATTCCTCTCTACAAACTGTTGTACTAATCTGAAGGCCACATGAAGTTTGGAGGTCTTTAGCTATTGATTCTGCAGACAGTTGGAGACTTCGGCGCACTGTGCATTTCAGCTGAGAAAGTCTGCTTCTTTATTGGTAGACCCATTTATGTAGACTACCGAAACACAGAAACATTAAACAGTGACAGTAAAAAAAAGACCGAGTGGTCCATCGAGTCTGCCCGTTTGGGTTTTGTTTGGGGGGAGGGGTGTTTGTTTTTACCATGAACATTTGAGAGTATCCTGCTTTCTGACCAACCAGGAACTTCCTAGGTGAGGCCCAGGAGCTTCTGGGGACCTGGTGCCCCCAGATGATTCAGGTATGCCACCGTCGATATATTGTCTAAAAGGGCCTGGACTTCCCTTCACAGAATCCTGTCCTCAAAGACCTTCAGAGCCTGCCCCACAGCCAGAACCTGCCTGTAATTGAAAGAGGTCCCCCTCTGGCTCAGATCCCACGAGCCCTGGGCTTGCCAGTTCTCTAGGTGGGCCCCTCAGCCGCAAGCACTTGCATCGGTGGTTACCCTGACTGGGTCCAATGTTGCCCTTCTGCCAACCTCTCTAGTCTGAGCCACCATTCCAGAGAAGTTCTTACAGTCTCCAGGAGGTATACCTTTCTGTCCAGAGATTCCCTGTCCCAAAAGGAGAACAGGAAGAACTGAAGTTCCCTGGAATGCAATTGTGCTCACTCTATGGCCAGCATACAGACTGTCATGAGCCCTAGGACTCTCATGATGTGCTCCCAATACCTTCTCAATCTTTTGTTAGGGTAAGAAGAGCACATGGACTCTGGATTCCACCAGATACCCTAGGAAAACCTTAGCCTGGGACAGTATCAACAAGGATTTTTCTCGATTGACAATCCACCCTAGAGACTCCAGGGTGAAAACCACCTTTTCCAAGTCTCCCGAAACTTGAAGTTCTGAGTGGCCATAAATCAACAGGTCATCCAGGATCTCCTGGAAACCCCCTGATGATGAAAGTGAGCAACAACCTCTGCCAGAACTTAAAAATTCTCGGACTGGTTGCCAGCCCAAAAGGAAGGGCCCAAAACTGCCACTGTTTGATCCCTTGTTTTGTGAGGATGGTGAAATGCGAGAAGGCTTGGTGTTCTGGGGTGATGGGAACATAGAGGTAAGCATTCCTGAGGTCTACCATGACCATGAAGACACCTTTGAGCAGATGCTTCCACACACTGTAAATACTTTCCATGCGGAACTTTTTGTATTTGTACCACAGGAACTTGTTTAGCTTTTTGCAGACTTATAATCAAGTGAAATTTTCCAGAGGGTTTGGAGACCACAAAAATTGTGGGAATAAAATCCCCGGCAAAGCTGATCCGCTGGGACCAGGACTATTCCCTCTTGTTCCGTCAGTTCCTTGACACCTCCTAGGAGACCCTCCACTCTCTGCTTGTCCCTGAGAACATGGGTTAAAAGAAAAGTTTAAATGGGGGGGGGGGGTGAGGTGAATTCCAATTGATACCCCTCCCTTAACTGCAGAATGTACAGGCTCTCAGAAATCTTCCCCCTTTGCGGGAGGAATCTGGACAGCCTTCCTCCCACCCTGAGGTTTGTGTCATTTGGGGTCTTTACTGGTGATTCTCAGGCCAGCAAAAAGGAGACGCCCTTTTAGTTTTATCTGTATGGTCCTCCTGCACTCTAGGTCCCCTATTAATTTATACTAAAAAGCTGCTAGCACCTTACGATATACCTGATGGAAATGACAAATTGAAGATGGTGCTGCGCTATCTCTAGGTGATAAACTCCTGTGATGATAATACCCCACACAGTGTACAAACTTGTAAATAAACATACATAAACCGTACATATTTGTACCCATAGTACAGCCCAGAAACAATAGTGCGCATTTTGTTTTGTTTTATTTTTACCTAAAACACACTGACACCAATTTTTTTTTTTTTAAAAACCCTGACCTTTTGACATTGACCTATTGACACAAAACACTAACCTTGGCACTGAACTAGATCAAACCTTGATCTAGTATTTTTTCTTTATTTTTTAATATTTATTTTTTTTACAAACATTTTTTTTTCCCTCTATGCCAGGAGTTAGAAAGATACAATGCATCTCTCTCCTCCATTCATAGAGAGGGAAAAACACAAGGGGCCGGGCTGTACAGTGACTGATCACTGTGGTATCCAATCAGAGGCTATCACAGCAGTGCACTCAGTGACACCGTGGTCTTTCTGCAAGGAGCGTGCTGTGCGGCAGCTCCCGGCAGAAAGACAGATACGCAAATATGCGCCCCCCCCCAGTTCCCCCCAGGGGCCGCATATTTGTGTTACGTCAGCGTCAAGGGGTTAGAATAACTTTTTTATATGATAAAAAAATATGAAGAATATATTTTTTAAAAATATATATTTAAAAATATTTATATTTATTTTTTCAAATATATTCTTCAGATTTCTATTAACATATAAAAAAGTCATTTTAACATATATTTTTACATATATTTGTAAATGCATTCCAAAATGTAGATATGTATTTTTAAAGACATACAGTATATTTGAAATGTATTGTTAAAAATACTATTAATATATTTTGTAATAAAAATGCATTACAGCATACTATATTGAAATATATATATTGAAATATATTGAATATGCCCAAAATTGTAGCATTTCAAATATATGTCAATATATTTGGGAATAATATTTTTAAAATATATTTCAAATATTCTTTCTTCCATATGGGTTGTGTGCCATTTTTGCCCATACTCTGTCATGCCTGAAGGGTTAGGAAACAACAAGGACTGTAGCATATGATAACGCAGTGTTGGAGAAGACATATTACAACACTGCCATATCTATATATGGGGATATATTTAGAAAGCAGTAAATCTGGTGTTCAACAGACATTCACTGCCAGTAATTCTTCCAGGTGCATGTGGTTTAACAGGTTCCCGCCTGGCCTATAGCCAAATGGCGGCCTGCAAAACCCCCTGTTCCTCCGGGTGGATACCATATGGCGTCCTTTCGGGCATGCACAGTTTGCATGCCCGCAGAGCCGCGAAGTGGAGCGATCTGTCACCGGCCGTGTACCTTGGACATGGCTGATGACAGATCTGAGTACCGGCCCCATTGCCGGTACCATGTGACCTGCTGTGACCAATCACAGTTGTATACAATGGATGGCTTCATTCATGCCATCCATTGTATACTAGTGTGTCTAGCTGTGTATGGTCACAGCGATCACATGCACAAGCTGGGCCAATCACAGCCCATCTGTGTCATGTGACTAGCCATAGTCAAATAACAGCTAAGCACAAAAAATTAAAAAAAAAATGTAAAAAAAACCCTGAATGACTCAATGTCATTCAGGTAAATACTTGCTTATAGCAAAGTGATTCTTTGCTATAAGCAAATTGTGTAAAAAGAAAATACTGATCACTTCCCCAAAGTAGTACAATGTTACTTTGGTAACATTGTACTACTTTGGTCATAGTGAAATATAAAAAAAAATCTTAAAAAAAGAAAAAAATGTAATAAAAAATTAAAAATATTAAAAAATGTAAAAAAAATTAAACAAATTATAATTTTTTTTTCATACTGTCACCAGTCAGTGTTCCTGATCACCACCATGCCAGTTATATGATGACACTGTACTACACTGGTGACAGTATGTAAAAACAAATAGTGAAAATAATTTTTTGAATTTTTTCATTTTCCGAAAAGTTATGACAAAAAAAATACAACTTCAAATAACTCGCCATGCCTCTTATGAAGTACGTTGGACTGTCTACTTTGCAAAAAGGGGTCATTTGGGGGATATCTGTACTGTTCTGACATTCTTGGACCTCAAGAAATTAGATTGGCTGTCAGTACTTCAGGACTGATCAATATTCAGATATATCCCATAGTTTGTGAACTTTCCTACAAACTAACAAATAATTTATGAAGAATAATTATTTATTTGCAAACTTTTATAACAGAAACAAAGAAAAACATGTTTTTTTTCCAAACTTTTTTTGTTA